TATATATATATATATATAATTATTGCTATTTAATATGTGGCATGGTTCAGTGCAGAGCGGTCGTTTCCCAACCCGGAGGTTGTTGGTTTCGATCCCCGGCCATTGCGACCATGTCGTAGTGTCCTTGAGCAAGAGACTGGACCCCCCACCCCCCCAAGTTACTCCTGGTGCTACGTCACCAATACATGAATGAGGTAACGGTGTGAAGCGCTTGGAGTACCCGAGGTAGAAAAGCGCTGTACGAAGTGACAGCCCATTTGCCGTTATGAGAGGAGCGGACCCATAATGAAATCATTGTTCAACAATGATTTGAACACTGCATTTTTATGACGACCGCTTGTGGTGTTACCTATAGTTTCAACTGAACACAGACAATTAGAACCATTTTTTTGGGGGGGAGGGGCCCTCACTTACTCGTCATAATTTAGGAAACAATTACAAAAATATTCCCTAGCCTTAATTCAACATAGATTACATAAGACATAAAAACATTTCACATTTGATAGTTGTGCATTTTATAAGTGGGGGTTAGATTGATTTTAATTCACTCAAGAGTCTGTTTAAATTAGGGGGTCACCAACTCTGGTCCTCAAGGGCCGCTATCCTGCATTTTTTTAGATGTCCACCGCCAGCTCGTGAGAAACCCGTTAAGGAACCCGATCATTGAATCAGACGTGTTGGAGGAGGGAGACATCGAAAGAATGAAGGATGTGGGGGCCTTAACTCATTCAGTACCAGCCAATTCTGGATCAAGTCTGAAAAGACGTTTGGGAGTGAATGAGTCAAGTACTGAGGTGGTGAGCCCTGGTTTACATGCTTGAAGAGGTGCTGCTGTTTTGGTTAGCAACAGCGTTGGGCTCAAGAAAGCAACAATGTGCGAGGTAGTTTAGGGTACACCCCAAAAGGTCCAAAAAGGGGTGGAGTCTATTCAGAGTTGGGGCCACTATTTGAGGAAATACAGCATCTCAAAGACCAGCAGGCTGCATGTCTGGAAGGGACAGCGACCTAAAGAAACAAAAGCTGATTAATATTTCAGCAAAACACTTGCAGATCATCAAAACGATCCTGGCGGGGAGGGAAAAAAAAATTGTTAAAGCACAGCGCGGAGAAACGTTTAAGATCCAACGGCAGTCAGTGCAAATAGTGTAACTTTTGAATGATTTGGTTTCAAAAACCTTCGCATATCTCTGCTCAAGTGAGTGAAACGTTCTATCAAAAGAAACAAAAAGTGCATGATGTGTAAAAAAAGAATAATACCTCAATCAACAAGGTAGAAATCGATTCAATGTGAATCTGCTATGGCGTTGCAAGAGCTTTCCGTCTTGTCGTATTAACTACTCTGACTAGCAACGTCAGTACTTGATCGTAAAATAAGAAAAAAAAATCCACTTGATTTAGCACAAACATTTAACAGAAGAACAAAGAAAAAAAATGAACCTTTGCAATGTCTGTTCAACTCAAAACAAAAGGAATAGAAATAATAATAATTCATTTCATGACAACAAATGTAGAACATTGACAATTCAAGTTTCACATGCACAACCCACAAGTCAACTGTGGTCATGATACCCTTGACGACGCCACACTCGGATTAAGGCTTTTTTGGTGTGTTTTTGGTCACGGAGGGGAAATACCACTAAATTATTCAAACCAATTGATTCTTCATGAACTTTTTCTCAAAGTACGTCCACACAGGCAGGAGCAAAGCGACAGGATGCCAGTCATTGGCGATTTGTGGTTACGAGCAACATCGCCGGTGGGTCGGCGGCGTGCAGTCGCGACTGTCTGAGCTTTCGGGCAAGATACACACATATTGATTTTTGAAATAATCTCACACATGACGGGGGGGATTAACTCATAAAAAAATAAAAATAAAATCTGCACCCATGATCCGAACGTTCGTATTGTATGTGGTGGACTCGAGACGACCGACACCACACATGATAGCTTCACCGACAATCGCAAACTATCTGTTGTAGTACCAAGATGGACCTCTGAGAGGCACTACAGTGCTACGTGGAATCCTGATTGGCGGACATCTCCCCCCCGGGATAATGACCGTATTTTCCGGCCTATAAGGCGCACCTAAAAGCATTCTATTTTCTCAAAAGCCGACAGTGCATCCCTATAATCCGATGCGCCTAATATAAAGAGCCTGTAACTCTCTTTTTACCCCCTACTGAGTTGTTTCCTCTTTAGTGTTCGTATGCCACCTAGTGGTGATTATTAGCAGGAGCCAATTGTAACCGAGGGTTCCGCCCGACACTAATTGACATGCGCATTCGCCAACACACTTTGTAAGCTCTGTGAGGCCATTAAGAAACGAAGATAATACCAAAAGCATAGTTAACTACTGACTAAATGAAGGAAGAAGGAGACAAGCAAAACTACGAAGGATATTGAGCCCCTTGTGGATGTGAGCCCAAACGTTTGTGTGCCTTTTTGTTGAATCAATTGCCCTTATAACTTTTGTCTTTCATTTATTGTTTTGTAAAGCCATTTGTTTATGTTTCATGTCCGTGTGTGTGACCAGTTCTCATTTTTACAGCTGCAGCGCTTGCAAAGGCTCTACATAAATCGAGCTGTATTGTATTGTATTCCCTTTAGCATAGCACCATCTAGTGTATGCATAGCCAAAACGCAGCTGCTATTGTATGCGCCTTATAATGCGGTGCACCATATATATGAAAACAGTTTTTAAAATAGGCCAGTCATTGAAGGTGTGCTTATAATCCGAAGCGCCTTGTAGTGCGGAAAATACGGTACTCAGGATAATCTTTACTCAGGATAATCTTTTCAATACATTATTTACTTTGATCTCAACAGAGGGAAAATGCTCAGCTTTTCCCCGGCTGTCAGTATATGGGCATCCTACTTTGGCATTGCGTCCCTGCTTATGCAGCGACCCATTGAGGTCCGACAACAGTTTATTTCGAATCTACATCCTGCATTACCATGAGCCCTCACGAGAGAATCACGCCGCAAAAATCTAAACAACATCGAGGGACAAGATTTACAGCTCGCTTCCTGTGTGTAACGTACAAAAGAACTGACAAAATTAGCCATCTTCACGTTCGACCAAGCCCGAAAAAAATGTCTTGGGAAATCATTTCCCCCCCTATAAAATCATTCACCTTTTGCTGGTATTTCATTGTCTGTAATTCGCGACATTCAGTGGCAGTTCCCTTATAAATTGTGAGGTAGATGAGGTCAGGAGGTCAAACAGCCCCCCTCCCCTTGAGGTGAGGATTACCCTCACAAAAAGTGGAGGGCTAAAAGATGCAATGTGGAATATGGAAAAGACATCCGGAGAGAACACAAATATATGACAGCTACCTGCTAAAACGCAGCACAAACATGGACGTCACACAGGCTAAAGTTCAACCGGCTTCACATACCCGCTCGATCACGGTTATATTGGCCATCTTTTTTTTATTTTTCCCCCCCTTCCAAAAAAAAAAAACATCTTTTTTTTTTCTTTCCACTCATGAACAGAAATGTGGTCATCATTTTTTTTTCCTTTCGTTCCGACACAAACTAAGAGTAAAAGATATTTACACTTGGATATTTGATAAAAAAAAAAATACCTTCAACTTGACACAGCACACGAGTTAACAATGTCCAACAAAGCGCCGGTGTTGGATCATGTCCTGGTATGTACGTCATATTTCTATAAGGATAATGGTTGCCCCCCCGACAGCCCTCTCGACTTTCATGTGACACTTGTGTTCAAGGGTATGTTGTAAAATGATGGTGGAATGTTCCACGAATCAGTATTTGAGTGAGACCTCTGAAATCAGAAACCGCACAGGTTAAAAATGGTTGTTTGGTGGTTTGGAATTTTGTGGGAAATCAACTGGTCAGAGCCCTGAAATGAAACGGCGGCAGCAAAAACATTACAAAGCGCCTGCGGTTGACGTTTCCTTGAAGATCCATCAAGCTTCCTGATGGCATTCGTTATGAACTTCTTATGAACACCCCCCACCCACCCCTCCTCAAGTTAAGGCTACTCTGCGCTTCACGATCCTCTGTTAAGTCAACGAACTGTCGGGATGCTTTCATTGATGATTCAACTTATGAGAGGAGGAAGCCAATGCATACAAAGAGAAATATCCAACATCCCATATGCTTATATCAATCCTAAAAATGATAAAACCAAACAAACAAACAAAAAAAAGAAACACCAACCACAAACCAACCATGCACAACCGCCAATTAATAAAAAAAAAAAAAAAAAAAAAAAAAAAACATCTTTTTTTTTTCTCTCCACTCATGAACAGAAATGTGGTCATCATTTTTTTTTCCTTTCGTTTCGACACAAACTAAGAGTAAAAGATATTTACACTTGGATATTTGATAAAAAAAAAAATTAAGAGTAAAAGATATTTACACTTGGATATTTGATATAAAAAAAAAAAAAAACCTTCAACTTGACACAGCACACGAGTTAACAATGTCCAACAAAGCGCCGGTGTTGGATCATGTCCTGGTATGTACGTCATATTTCTATAAGGATAATGGTTGCCCCCCCGACAGCCCTCTCGACTTTCATGTGACACTTGTGTTCAAGGGTATGTTGTAAAATGATGGTGGAATGTTCCACAAATCAGTATTTGAGTGAGACCTCTGAAATCAGAAACCGCACAGGTTAAAAATGGTTGTTTGGTGGTTTGGAATTTTGTGGGAAATCAACTGGTCAGAGCCCTGAAATGAAACGGCGGCAGCAAAAACATTACAAAGCGCCTGCGGTTGACGTTTCCTTGAAGATCCATCAAGCTTCCTGATGGCATTCGTTATGAACTTCTTATGAACACCCCCCACCCACCCCTCCTCAAGTTAAGGCTACTCTGCGCTTCACGATCCTCTGTTAAGTCAACGAACTGTCGGGATGCTTTCATTGATGATTCAACTTATGAGAGGAGGAAGCCAATGCATACAAAGAGAAATATCCAACATCCCATATGCTTATATCAATCCTAAAAATGATAAAACCAAACAAACAAACAAAAAAAAGAAACACCAACCACAAACCAACCATGCACAACCGCCAATTAACAAAAAAAAAAAGCAAGTCCCGATGGTTCCGTTCTCTATAACTAAAAGACATAATGACCCAAGCTATTATATCTGTGTGGAAAGTCAGTTAAAAGAAGCTCTTGGTGAACTGAACAGCGCCACGTGCTGGTCAGAGAGACAATTACTATTTCATGAGTCATTTACTCCAGAAACGCTGACTTTGAGCCAGCCGCTTCAAAATAAGTGATGCGATGCCGCCACCTAGAGCGAAGCACGGACTACTACAACCTCCGCCGGAGCGGCATGACTGAGTTTGTTTCGTCAATGCAAATTTCGTGCGATGATGTCATGTTCAGGCGCACGGGAGCAACCATTACCCCTGTGTCTTAATGTCCACATGTGCTGTACAAAACCGAATTGCGTCTCCAGTGTCATTTTTCTCTGACGGACATCGGTAATCACGCATGCTAATGTAGTGTCAGACCGGTCCAAGTTCCAAGGACGACACCTGCCTGCAGACATGATGGCTGACTGACCGCCGACATGGCAGAGGCAACGCGTCGTACGATGAGGTTAAGGGGTGAGGGGGGGGCGGGCACATCGGGAGGGGTTTGGGGGTAGAACAGTGGAGCTCCTTGAGTATGATAGGCGCTTCCCCTCATCCGTCAATCAGCTTCACATCGATATGGGACAAATCAATCATGTGCCTGTGTGGTGAGCGTAACAACCATGTTTAGTGGCTTTTGGGGGCGAGGGGGCTATGGAATCACACAGCCATGAAATAGTCACGCATGTGCGACGCGAAGATGTTAACACGGCGATAGTGGAACCTCCAAAGTCAAACCCCGATGAGATGATTTGTTCCCGAGACCAAACTGTCGCAATACAGTCGAGGAGAGTAAAATTTAGCGAAAAATTGAATGTTGTCATGAGCGCAAGGCAGAATTTAACCATTGCGTCAGTCAAAACCAAGGCCGCGCTCATTTGCACAAAATCCAAACCGGCAACGCTGTCGCTATTTTTCCGACACCTCTCATGACTATTTGTCGAAACGGGGACGAGCAACTTGATTGCTTGCTCGTCAATTGCGGTGAACATGGTAAAAAAATACGGCGCCAATTTCCGTGTTGCAAAAGCAGCGCTTCATATACAAGCTGGAAACTTCTCACTCGCAGTATAGACTTCCAAGCCTCAAACACACAGAAATGTTTGCGTTTGTCTTTCATTCGTTGTTTTGTAATGCCATTTGGATTGATATGTTTCATGTCCGCGTTTGTGACCAATTTTCTGATTGTTACAGCTGCAGCGGTTGTGAAGGCTCTGTATAAAAAAAAGCGGCATTGTATTGTATTCCCTTTAGCATAGCTCCATCTAATGGCTGCATAGCGCAAACGCAGCCACTATTACAGCTTCTATTCTATGCGCGTTATAATGCGGTGCGCCCTATATATAAAAACAGGTTTAAAATAGGCCATTCATTGAAGGTGCACCTCATACTCCTAAGCGCCTTATAGTGCAGAAAAGACAGTAAATGAAAGAGCTGGATGGGGCGTAACAACAGGTACGAATTAGCCGAGCCACGTAAACTTGACGGCTGATGTTCATTTAAGGATTGTGTTTACGGACACTTGGACAAAAGCAACATTTTGTGGAGGAAATTTGCACTTTCACATGATCCGTGACACAATAATTGATCATGTCTCTGTCATTTGCTCTATCCATAAGCCAAGGGACGGCAACCAAAATTACCAGCTCAGGCCAAGCATTCTGTCAAGACAGTGGGAGTTGAAAAAAAAATAAAAAAATAGGAGGTAGAAAGGTGCCTTAATAAAAAATATATAAAATATCGGTGCTAAATGATGCTAAAGTGAACCAAGCCTTCTGCTCGATCATCTCCATGGCAACGGACTAATACTGGTCAAAAGGACTTGGGCTATGATTTAAATTGGGCGGCTTTACATTGCGCTAATTTCAGCATGATTTGTTTTTATTTTTTTTAATCTCGTATTCTGCCTCGTCACTTAACTTCTCCTCGACCACCTCCTTATCCTTCTTTAAGGGTGGCCAAAAGCAAACTGCACATTCAATGAATCCTCTTAAGTTGGCTGATATTTTACATCCCGAGAGCTGCACTGACGTCTCACAAAATTTTAGGGGGCATTTAAGGCAACGTTTCCCCCGAAAATTTTGGAAAAACTCTTAGCTGTGGAGGTTCCACTGTACTCATATGAAGTCAAGTGAGTGAGTTACCTATGGAAGCTCATTTGAAAACTTGCGGCATGTTGGGGACTTGAAAAGGTGGCGATTGCTTTCCTTTGCTGAGGTATCATTCTGAACATCTGCAACACAAAAAAAATAAAATAAACAATAATAATAATAAATAGACTCTTTAAAACCACGCCAAGAGGGCGCATAGGGATGTGAAGGGAAAGAGATGAGTTCATTGGACTGGATTGACGGAAGTAGAGCTACTCAATCTGAGCAACAGGGGGCGCTGTGAGACCACTCAAGAAAATATGACAGTTGTGAAAACTGGAAATCCAAAGTGTTTCGGCTTTTGTTATTCAAATGAGATTCAACTGTAACTCATGAATACACGGAACATTCTGCAAGGTCGAGTTCAAGGACTTTTGATATTTCCAACTGTTTTCAGCACACTCATTCACTTACTCAAATATTTCGCGTTATATGACAAATTTTATCATGCTTATATAAGAATAATTGTGTTCAATTAAGTTCAAGGAAGACATTTATGTCGAGCTTTAGAACAGCAAATCACGAGTACATCATTTCCGAACAGATATTTACCTCTATCGGGCCAATGGATCTTAAAAGGCTCTGCAGCTGCACGTCAGTGGTGGACGACGAGAGGCCCTCAATGGTGACGGTGCGCCGTTGATTCTCACCGACCCTCAGGCCTTGCCGGGCGCCCATTGGACCTCCTCGACCCACGTGAATGATGCCCCCTCTTCCCCGGCCCGGCACGACGACCTGCAACGGGAGGGTGGTGGGGGTTAATATGAGTCCAAGTCTTTCTTCTCAGCCACGCTGACGTTTCAATCCTCAGAGCTACGGTGATCCCGAAAGGGGATCGCCGGTGCTTTCTTTGCACACGTCAGACATGGCTGACTTTCCTGTGATTGACTTATCATATTTCTACAGAGAACATCAACGTCAGCGCATGATGCGCGCGCCTTGGCACGTCTTCATACGACGAGCCCGCAAGTGAGCGGTATCTTCCATCGGATGCAGGGAAGATGGGCGTGTGGGGTGAAAGGGGGTGGGGGGTGTGAGCACTGTGTGCGCAGTTTGTTATGGTGGCTGCCTTAGCCTGTCAGCATACGAATGTGTGACGGCAGCCCTTGGCGGTGACAAGCGTGCAGCGAGGCCAAGGGGACCCGATGTAGCCCCTTACCCGTGAAACACTGCTTTCTGCTTGTCAATACACCTGGCACGCCGTCACGTCTCATGACTACCACCGTACGACGTCACGTGCCCGCAAATGGCGGGATTTAGTTAAGATCGGAGCGCTTCTCTTTCAACCATGAAATGAATCCATCAAATTCAGTTAAGTGAAAAATCCCGCGCGTCCCCGGTATGCGGAAGCAACAAAAACAATATCAACTCCATAAAGGCATGGATATCAACGTACATAATTCTTTTTATTTTGGAAACTGAGCCTCACGGCACGTTGCGTAGTAGCCTTATAAACAACCGTTGTGGCTGCCGGCTTGATTACGCTGGCTCCCCACGAAACGCGACGGTCCAATCGCCGTGAGACGGCGGCCGTCACTGCGCCGCGGCCACGACGGTCCGTCAAAAATATGTCCTTGCATAAAAGTGGGCCGTGGTACAAAACAAGAGTGGACACCGGATGGCTACCCTAGAGAACTGTTCGAATAAGGCTCGCTGATCACAGGGGTCCCATACTGCAAATCAGAGGTGGGACATTAATTTTTCCAGTGGGCCAAGCAACAGTCAATTGTATTGCTAAGTGGCAGCACTCGTACAATTACCGTATTGGCCCGAATATAAGACGGCCCTGATTATAAGACGACCCCCTCTTTTTCAAGACTCAAGTTTGAAAAAAGACTTTTTGAACACCAAATTAATTTTTATACAGAAAATAATTACAGTGCATCTGAAACAAATGATTATAATATATTTGCGCGAAAAAGCATGTTATTCTGCCTCATTCAAATCTTAATATCTGAACATTTAAATATGTAAACTAAAGTGCAATCACATTTGTAAATGAATGGCTTCTGGTTTTTGAAATGTAAATTACATCATAACTTCTCCTCAGGGGCCGGTTAACCTGGCCGATCTTCGACCCACTTTTCTCCAGATTGTCGCTGCGTTTCTCCATTTTCTGTTATCTCTTCTATTATTTTCTTCTCTTTTCTTTCTTACCGCTATTTTTTATTTTTCTTCTTCGTGCTACCGCTATTTTTATTTTTATTCTTCGTGACGGGTTCACTTTGGCTTGGGGAGTCAAGTTCAGCATTCGCTTCAATGATATCTGGCGCCATCTAGCGTCGTAAATGGGTATAATGTCTAGACCCCGAATATAAGACGACCCCCACTTTTTCAGTCTTATTTCAATGCAAAAAACACCGTCTTATATTCGGGCCAATACGGTACATTGTTGAAATTAGGTCATGCGGTCGGTGGGTCATTGGCGGGGGGGGGCACCAAGCCACCACCTGTCGTTCTCATTTAAGAACCATCCCAAAATATTTATGTGCACCTGTTTATATATCACCCAAACTGGTACCCAAATCCGAATATGCAAATCGCATCAAAATACAGTACTGAATATTTCAATGAAAATCATCACCGGGCCATGAATCTAAAAGAAACTGGGGTGAAATATAATCTAACACCTGTTAGTTCATTGTGCGCCGTTCGGCATTTGGTTGGAGACTTGAGGACGTACCCTGTTTTGCTGCAGGTTGCCGATGCCCCCTCGGCCCACCTGTTGCATCATGCCCGCACCGTGCAGCTGTTGTCCGCCCCCCACGGTGACCTTCCTTTGGACGCCCTGTCTGAGAGGGTTGTCTGGCCAGCCGGTTGACTGCTGCTGCTGCTGCTGTACTGGGAAAGCCGTGGCCTCCGGGCCTTTTCCAGGCTGCAAGGCAACGCATGACAATCCATTTTTTGAGAGGGGGGGTTTCTTTTTCCAAAATGGACAAAACAGAACCAGCAAACTCCTGACAGAGTTTCAAATTGCCCACTTGAACCGTTTCAACTGTAAAAGTCCCACTATGACCCGAAAACAATGTACCGGTAATATATTGTCAATGTGATGTGACATTATACGTGAAATAGCTCTGAGATGAAAAAAAAAATGCAACCAGGTTAAACTTTGGCATCTCAATCACATCCAAAGCTTTTCTCAAAGATGAGTTGCATCATTTTTAAAAACACTCACTTCACACCAACTCCTTGAGACAGACTGGCGGTATTTTGGGGCGTCTCAAAAAGACGCAAATAGGTGATTTTTTTTTTGTCCACAAAAAGCTGACTGTTTTACATAAAAAATTTTTTTGAATGTATTTAGATAACTTTACATGCCCTATTGTCTCTTCATAAAAGGGGGCCGGGGGGGTGGGGTGGGGGGGTCTTGAGACGGACGGCGCTGCGTAACGATCGACTCGCATCGATTACTCTGAAATAAAGTTGCAGCTGGGACGCGCGCGGAGGAATTGAAGGTCGTCTCCTGCGTGAGACTCTGCGGAGAAATGTGACAGATCAATACGCAGCAAGAAAAGAGGCGATATCCCCCCCACCCCAACCCCACAGTTGAGTAAATGGATTAATCCTCCCTATAGAAATCACGGCACCCGATCGCGCCCATCAAATACTAAGCTGCATTACACTGGAACGACAGCAGCTGGATCTCTACCCCCCCCCCCCCCCCCCCCCCCCCCTCCCCCCCCCCCCCCCGCTTCACATCCCCCGCTGCCTCCTCCTCTACCTCCTCCCCAGGCCTTTGTGTCTTGCGATGCTTTGTATTATCCGTGATGAAAATATACTTTGCCTCTTATCAGTTTTCCTAAGCCATCCAAATCCAAATCCTCAAAAGTGGCAACTTTCTTAGCGCAGGTATTATTGCTAGCGCCACCCAATCTGACCCCACCCCCCCCCTCTCCTCACGCCTCCGCCTCCTTGCTTTTTCGAGCGGCAAAGATTAATTACGAGGGTCTTGGATTGGCATTCCTTTGTTGCCGCGCACCTGAGGGACGGCTCGACGGGACTGGAGTGACGGAGGG